CAAGCTTCCTTTTCAACACATCCAATCCAAAAATTCTTCAGTAATCCTCGTGATCTCTTGCCATTCACAAAGTCTTTATCCCTTTACCAAAGTAAATAGCCTCATGGTCATCCAACATCCAAAAGCTGTAAGCAAACTTAAAGATTAAATAAATCTCATTTTTCCGCATGATGAAGATTTCCCCATGAGGATGTGAAAAGAACTTCATCGCTTTCTCTACACAAGGCAACATGATGTAATATCAAAAAGTTAATTAACAAAGAAAACAGAAAAAATTGTGTATATACAGTACAGAAAACGAGGATGAGAAGCGTAACAGTAATTAGAAATTTACCAAGGAAAATTTATGCAAGCGATTACGCGCAACATTAAAATTCAAAATAGGAATATTCTTCATCCATGCTGTTCCATGTCTTCTTTTACTCTCGTTTTAATTGCAATAATTATTCATTAAAAAAGACAAATGGAAATGAAATGTTTTTTCCATCCTTGCTGTGCTTCAATTTTAATTACAAGTTCAATAAATGTGATCTGAAAATCATTACAAAAAAAAACAGAAAATTAAAATTGGAAACTCCAATGAATAAGATTTATGATATTTTATGTATATTGAATGTACATGAAACGTAGCAGCAGCAGTGGTGGTGGTAGCAATCAAATGACATTGTAAATTAAATAAAAATATAAATCAATATGAAATGAAATGGAAATAAATGAGTTTTAATTGAATTGAGGTGGTGAAATTGAGGCGCATTTGATGACAATTTGAAATTTTTTATCTCCAGATGTTCATTATCAAAACAATCTACAGAATATTCACAACAAGTTCCTGCTTATTCAACAAATTTATTTCAGTTTACATTTCATTCACCAAATTCACCAAAGTTTTCATTTTATTCTCTATATTCACCATAGTTTACATTTTATTCAACAAATTCACGGCAGTTTTCATCGTCCTCAACCAATTCACCACAGTTTACATTTTATTCAACAAATTCACCACAGTTCACATTTTTTTCGCCAAATTCACCATAGTATACATTTTATTCAACAAATTCACCACAGTTTACATTTTATTCTCTTTATTCACCATAGTTTACATTTTACTCGCCAAACTCACTACAGTTTACATTTTATTCACCAAATTCACCACAATTTACACTATACTCACCAAATTCACCAAAAATTCCTTTTCCTCCTCAAAATTTCTTCCAAAATATCATCAACAAATGTTAAAACCACAAAACCGACTCAATTTCCATCAAATTTCTCTCAAAAAATCTTGCTAAAAGTTGTAATTTCAACCAGAATCACACTTGTCGTCGTCTAGTGAATTTAATTAACTCGATACAACATCTACTAATTGGAAATGTGTGTAATAAATTATAGTCTTTCCATACTGCTGTTGCTGTCGCATAAAATCCCTCCTCTATAAAACCCAACACGCCTTCCTCAAAATGACTTCTGTCGAAATGGGATTTTTCGTTCGTAGAAAATTAATATTGCATGTTGAGCATTTTCATATATTTATAAATATGTTACAGCTCATTTCAAAATCTGATTTGATGTGAAAAGCCACTTGAGCGTGACGATGATGATGTCATAAAAATGTCAATTCTTATTTTTTTTTTTTGTTTTAAATGCCAAAGGTACAAAAATGCGTTGACACGAAAAGGACTAATTTATATTGACACTTATGTCAGTTCCTCTTCATATTTTAAAGCCCGCGAGCAATAAAAGGATCAAAATATTGGTACAAGATGCTGTTCATTCATCCACATGCGAGGAAATTTCTCAAATATTTTTTTTTCCTTAAATCTTCTCAAAGCGGATCTGATTTTTTTTTAAGAATAATAACGCATGAGCTTTATCAAAAAGTGGAAATAATAGAAAAACATTGTGTAACATAAGAAGCTTTGATGCTTAGAGGAAGGATGTGCTAATATTTTAAAAAATACATTCTCAACGAAGTAAGTGTTGTTGACGCTAGCACAGGTTTTTTTTTCCATCAACTAGTTTTCCCCTCCTAGATACGATGCTTGCTCTCTCGAAATTATAAACACAACCATAAAGTGATGCTTGAACACGAAAATTATCTTCTCTAAGCGACTCAAAGTGCCGTTCCCATAAATTTTGTTGACAAAATAATCGCAATCAAAAATATGAAAGGAAAGGCCTGTGGGAAGCAGGAAATTTCATCGTAGGCGTTAATGTCGCTTTACGTAAAAGAAGTGTTTACAAAAAAAATTTCTAATGGATTTTTAAATGCTGTGCTATTTCTAGAAGTCAATTTTAGAAAATAGAGCTTCAGGTTGAAATTAAGGGGATAACAGCTTGGTGGAAAAAATTTTAAATTGGATATTTTTTGGAAATTTTACATTATATTGTTTCACCCTTGAGAAACATTTTGCAATTAATCATTGAAATTTTTTTTCTCATCAAGCTGTTATCCCCTTGGAAGAAATTAAAACTGTAGGTTATAAAGCCGTTCAGAGAGAAGGAGAGGGGGGAGGGGATAGCAAGAAAAGGAAAAAAAATTCCAGGAACTGAAATTGTTCTTTTTTGAAAAATTACCATTAATTTCGGACGTCAAAAGTAAATGACTCCCAAATAAGACTGTTCACTTATTACGGAATGCCAAAAACGACTTTTTAGACCCCCCCTCCATACTTGTATAAGAAATTTTTTTCTTCTGTTTGAACCGAAACAAAATCTTAGACCATCCCGTCCCCCTTATGTCATAAGGGGTCGTTCACTTATGACGTACCTCAAAAAAACCTTCTTTTTAGACCTACTCCTTCCTGTTACAAAACTGTCATAGATGTCAATACCCCCCTCCTTCCCTACTCCCCCATTGTGACGTCCAATCCAAAACACAAAAACATATATAATTTACTGATTAAAAACCAGAGTTGCGAAACAGGCCACCTGTGACAGGTGAGAACCGTTCAATTCCTTGATAATTTGTATGGTTTTGTTAGAAAAACCTTATAAATTATCAAGGAATTGTAGGGTTCTCACCTGTCACAGGTGCCTGTTTCGCAACTCTGTTAAAAACACAAATTTCCTGACCCCCCTCCCTCCCTTGTCACAAAGTGTCACAAATTTTTTGACACCCCCCCCCCCCCCCCCTAAATGTTGGACGATATAAGTGAACGAACCCTAAGAAAATGACTTTTACCATAGAAATAGCCACCATTTGACACAACCTTCCCATTTCAAAGCATAATTAAAGACAAATGAGTAAACTCTTCAATAACTTATGTATCAGGATGATCCGTGATGGAATGAATAAACAAATTGCAAAGTTGGAAAATGAATGAGATTGGAATGAATAGCATAGATTTAATTACAAAACATAGAAACATGTCAACAGCAATTAATCTCAGATTGCAAAAGTATGTCGCTACACAACAAATGAATACAGCAATCAAATAGTGACAACAACAGAAGAAGAAGCATCAAATGTATTCAAACATTGAAACTTGATTCCTTTAATGCTCCTTTACAGTTTGTGCTGCTTTTTTTGCTACTAACAGCTTGTAATTATCGTATCGAGGGTGGGGAAAAAAGTTTTACATCAATTTCTGTTCAGTTTTCCTTCTTTTTTTGCATTTCTAGTGTTTTTCTGACTGTTCGTAAAACTTGATTCTTGGTGGAGGAGTTAAAGTTGTGATGGGATGAGCATTAAAGGCGCAAAATCTATTTCTTCAACCCAGTGAAAATATCCAAAATTTCGACCATAACGAAACATCCAGAAAATCTCTATCTTAATCCCATAAGTCATCATCCTGTTCAAGCCTGTCTATCTCATCAACCTGCCAAAATTAAGCCATTTGCTCATCTACCATTCCCACCCCAGACACACTCATCGAGTCCATCAAGGGAAACGAACGACAAGAAGAAAATCATCAATCTGGTGATGGTCTCACATTGCGAAATGTTATCAGTTTGCTGATGCTGGAAAGTCGTTTAGATGAAAACAATTTTTTTTTTCTCTTCCTTACTCAACATCTAAATGGAATAGCTAAATACATCCCAGCTTCAACATGATGAAAATTGATGATTTTAGGGCAACGAAATGTTTTTTCCATCTCCCAAGTTGCCTTTGTCATTAACATGTGTGTACGAACACACACGCATTTGAAATCGAGTGTAATTTTCGAAAATTCATGTAATTAACGATTTGCTGATCCTCGTTATCTTGGATATATATGTATGTATTTTGAATGTTCATGTCCATTAAATGTGGGATATGCAATGTTTTTAGTACCGAAATTTAACATTTGTAGAAGACCACATGAGAATTTATGGTAATTTTTCGAATCTTGCTATGGGCAATTGATTCACACACAAATATATTTTATCCGTGAAATTTATCGTGCGTGGATTTACATACCAATTGTAGATTTATTTTTAGACTTCACATTACAGGTGAGGATGTGATTATTATTTTATTTCGAAGGAAATTTTCAGCGTATTTTGTGAAATTCAATGGGATTAAAGGCTGTTGTGGCTGGATGGTTTATGAAATGGAAGAGTTCGCAGCTCATTGAGATGCATGAATCTGGCAAGCAATTACCTGAATGACACATGGCTTTTAAAAGACAAAATTATGACGTGGAACTTACATAGTAAAGGTTTGGTTCTAGTTTTGCGGCATATCTAGCTTAACGGCATTCTCAAGCTAGCCTGATGCCAAGTTATTACGTGGTGTACCACTCGAGCTTTTAAAGTATCACCTCACCACATGTAATATCGTGAGTTTAGGATCAATCCTAATCATATAAACAATATTGTATCTAATGATTGAGAACATCAGCTTCTAGTAGGAATCGAACCCACATCTTCTCTAGCTAGACTTGCAAAGACTTCCACCTTAATGCTAAACCACTCGACCACAGAGGCCTTGCTTCTTATACTAAGGTTTTTGCTTATTAATAGCTAGGTTCATTACAGTGGCTTAGCCAATGTTCAGGGAATAATTGTGTTGATTAAAATCAATTTTAATTGAATATGAAAACATCTATAACACAGTTAAATAATTTATTTAAATATCATTCAACCAAAACTACATAAAAAGGCAATAAAACACTAAAAACTTAAATAATGACAACTAGTATGTTGAATTAATAATATTAAAAATTTCTTGATTTTCTAAGACAGTCGTATGATTTCCTTCAAGAGTCGTTACTTCAATTTCACTGTTTGAGTAAGCTTTAAGTCCCATATCATTGTCTTCATTTATTATAGTGGCTTCAGTTGGTTTGATTAATTTAATTGGTGATTCAATGACTGAGACGTAATCCAGAGATAAATGATATCCAGCAGTAACTCGATTCTTGATTAAAGTTGTGATTTTGAATAGATATTCTTTTGAATAGACATCAAAGTCATGGTAAAGCTCCTCAAAATTTTTCATTTTCTCTGCCCAACTAGGTGCAGCTAAAACAGCTCTTTTACGATCACTAGTATCATTTGGAAATGCATATTTTAATCCAATGTCCATTACAACTCTTTGTATTACTTGATCAACATTGTCAGATTCTGGAAGGATCTCATTTACTATTTTCTTAGATGAACTAGGCGAGCCATCAATTAGAATAACTTTTCCAGTTTTTCCTAAGTTTTCAAGCATTTTAGCTAATTTAAGAGTTAATATTGATCCATAAGAATATCCAATAAATAAGAATTTTGAGTCATTTGCGTACAGTTTTTCGATGTCCTGTGGATTTTTTTTAATTTTGTGATTATTAAAGCAAGAGCAAGGGCTGGTTTTTAATGACTACCCACGACACAAACAATAGCAATTGAAAATTGATGGACTAAACTGTTAGATATAAATAAGTTTTTACTGTGACTAGAGTTGGGTACCAAAACAAGCCTTAGGAAGCAGTGCTAGTAATTTTTAAAGAAGTTGAAGACTAAAGGACTTGGAAGTAGGTATGATTCAACCAGGGGCCGTTTTTTAAAGCTATCGTATCCTAATCACATTCAAGCTTTATTAAGAGTTTAGTCCATCAAGTTTCAATTCAAAGGTTGTCTATACATCAGTATTAGATGCTCAGGTAAAGCCAGTCATGGCCATTCATGATAATGGATTAACTTACCTTAATTAGAGCACTGCACATCTCATTTAATTCGCTAATATTCCAAATATTGGTGCACTGAATCAAATATGTTGGACATTTCAGTTGTTTTGCCAAATCATAAAACATTTGTCCACCAACGCCTGTAAAGAGACATAAAAATTGAAACTTTATTAACAGACACTGTATAAAATGCCTTAACTAGAGTTTTTGTCATTTTATGCCCTCATTCCTCCATTTTTGTACCACCATAAAAATTTAACATACCTTCAATTCCTGGAAACACCAAAGCTTTCGTCCCACTATCTTCTGCCACATCATTAAGCTTCAATATCGTAAGATGGCTAGTGCTTTCATCACCTAAGTTCTTAATTAAAAATTCTATGTTTAATTGTTTCTTTCCAGAAGTTTCATTTACGCCGCTGCTTTCAAGTGCTTTTAACTGCACAAGTGTCATAGATCGCAGTTGCTGTGGTGTAACCATGATATTGAATTCTCGTTCTAAAGTTTGGACAATTTCAACAGTCATCAGTGAATCCATTCCAAGTTCTGAAAGTTTTGTTTCCAGTGATAAGCTTTTGATGTCCTTGATTGACATAATATTCATGAGCATTTCAAGGACACCACTTTTTCCAGATCCTTTATATCTTTTCTCAGCAACAACCATACTTGCGACAATCGGACTATCGACAGTTATTAATGTATCAAGCTCCTCAAGACATGAAGATATTCTTTGTAGTAAAGTTCCACCAATTTCAATGTCAATTTTGTCTTCCTGCATATCAGCAACAATTCCAACTTCACCAACAGCACCCCACTGAATTGCTTTGGCTGGTAAGTGAAGATTATGTCGTTCCTCCATGATTCTTTCCATGACTGAATTAGCCATGCCATAATTACTTTGACCTGCATTACCACGTCCACAAGAAACACTTGAGAAGATCACAAAGTATTGCAAGAATGGACACTTGACTCTTGAGATCTCATCCAAATGTTTAGTTGCATCAGCTTTTGGTGCCATACATTCGTCAAATGTTGTTACTGTTTGATTCTCTAAGATACTATCGCGTAGCTGTACAGCTAGGTTGAAAATTCCTCCGACGGAACCTAGATCAAGTGCATCACTTATTAACTGATCACATCCTTGCCTTGTTCCAATGTCTGCTTTATTGACACGCACAGTCACTCCATAAGATTCAAAAAACTTAATTCTATATGCTTGATATTGCTTAGTTATTCCTCTACTTGTACTCAATACTAGCTTTCTACAGCCTCTCAAAATCAACCAGTCAGCTAGTTCCAAACCAAAACCACCAAGTCCACCACAAATGATGTACGAATAATTTGGATTGCAGTGAACTCTAGGTAGAACTGATATCGGAAGTGTGGCACTGTCCGACTCATTCTCACGAATTTTAAGGACGACTTTTCCAATGTGCTTGCCACTTGCTAAGAACCTGAATGCATTCTCAATTTCATCAGCATTAAAAACATTTGTCTTTAATGGCTTAATGATTCTTCTCTTCATATCATCATCCAGAAGCTTCTTTAAAATCAATTTTTCTTCAGTTGGTGCTTTAAACATGTTATCGACTAGAACAGCATGGAATGTCAGCTCCCTCAAGAAGTCTCCAAGACTTAATTTATTGTCATTTGCCATGTCAAATTTACCAATTTCAAGGAACTTTCCACCTTTGCCTAAACATCGAACTGATGCTGCCAACTTCTCTTCAGCTAATGAATTAAGCACAAAGTCTACTCCTTTGCCACGTGTTCGTCTCATAATCATGTCTTCAAAGGATGTGCTACGTGAATTACCAATATTTTCTCTTTTCAGTTGTGGAAACTCATCCAAAATGTAGTTCCTCTTTTCTTCAGTACTAACTGTGGTGAAAACTTCCAAGCCATAAGCAAATGCTACTCGAATAGCTGCCAATCCAACACCACCAGAGCCAGCATGAATCAGAATTGATTTTCCTTTCTGAATTTTTGTTGTGATGAAGAATGCAGCATAAACTGTAGCATAGACACAAGGAACTGTCACGGCTTCTTCAAGTGACCAAGTGTCTGGAACTTCCCAAGATAATGTTTCATCAGCCTCGACATGAGTTGCAAGAGCACCAGCTGATTTCATTCCCATTAGACGACGTCCATCTTTTGTTACGCCAGCAAATTCAATTCCCATCAAGCACATCAAGTCCATTCTATTGTCACCCATTGTCTCGGCTGAGAGCTTGCCTGTTGCCAACATCACATCTCGGAAATTTAGTGCTGCATACTGGACATTGACTAGATTATCAGAACTCTCTGTTATTGGACTTTGAAGCCATTTGATGGACGAAAGATCTCCTCTTACTAATCCATTGGCATAGCAAGAATCTTTATAGCTGTTTTTGTCATAAATAGGTTTGACCAGGAAGTGCTTGAAGCTACCCCACTGGCCATTTCTGTAGACATTTATGGCGAAATCCTTATCAAGTTGAGATTTGTAAAATGGATTTCCAATATTAAATTGCGGTGCTGATTCATCATCAATAAATACACAGCGTAAGTTACTTCCATTTGGTTCCTTTCTGATACAATTTACGAGTCCTAAAATTCCAGAATGACTCTCTCTTTCAGCATAAAGTAAAGTTGGTTCTGTTTTAGCTTTTTTCTTAAGGATGTCTAGCCATGAATAGTTTTGGTCTGTGTTAGTGATTTTAATAATGGATGTTGGTGTAGGGAACGGAACCTTTCTATACTGCATCATCACTAATGTCTCGGAGTCAGATGGAATTACAGCAGCTATTTTGTATCCTTCAGGTCCTTCATAGTCCTGAATGATTTCATAATCCTTTGACTCTCTTGAAATAATGTAAGAACAATCACTAATGTACTTCTTCACATTCTCGAGGAAATCAGCATCAAATATGCATCTGGACTTGATTACAAATGTCTGGTTACTAAATGCTGACAATTCTGAATTGGACACAGTTGCTTGAGGAACTTCAATGTCTTTTGACGTCAGGTAAGTTAATTCTGATGTGACAAGTGGCAGATCACTTAAAGCTAGTCCCAAATATTCACAAAGCGGTTCTTTATCATCATTCGTGCCAAACTCAACACACGAAACTTTTCCAACTTGATCATTTTCGAGTGCCAACTGCACACAAAAGCGTCCAATGTCAATTTTTGACATAATCGGAGTTGGGAAGTGAGGAACAAATCGATGACTTTCAAGAACTGGAATTCCTTTTGGTGGACGTCTGTTAACCGTTTGAGCCATAAGACCTCGAATTTCAACACCACCACAACGAAGGAGATTCAAGTCAGCATTATACTTAGCTTCAAAAATTGGATTATCTCCTAGCTCTGCCATCAGTTTTTCATGTTCGTTCCTCTTAATGACAATCTTCTTAATACCAATTGGAAGTGCCAGTGATCTTGTATCTTTCGTGATAATTTGAAGTTGAAGAAGGCAGTCAAGGAATGCAACCCAATTTGAGCTCCATTTAAGCTTTCCACTTGAACTGTCCATTTTAGCTGACACTACAGATCTGAATAGATTTTTGTAGTGATAACCTCGAAGACGTAGTTCCTTATAGAAATCTGCAGACTCAAGTTCTGAAATATCTGATTCTTCTTCCTCAATATCCGTTAGTTCATAGTCACTGCACGGACGTACAATTCCAGTCACAAGTGTTGATGTTCCTTCGCTTACTTCAAACTGACCAGTTCCACGTTGCAGTATAACTGTCAAATTGTGTTCCTGATCTTTTTGAATGTGACAGGCTCGGATGAACTTTACATCCTCAAACTCGACATCAAATTTATTGAAATTTTCAAAATTCTGTGCAGCCATAAGCTTCCATGCTAAGTACAAGTACCCTGTAGCTGGAAATAGAATCCGCCCATCGATCTCATGTCCTGAAATGAACTCAAATTCAGGATCTGATAAGTTTATATTGACAATGTGCTGATTATGCTGCTTATCCTTCCAGCTGGGGATATAGTAAGAATTTTTATGATCCCATTTAATTGACGGCGCAATCATTGGAGTTCCTCTCGAGACAGGAAACTCAATGGCTGGATAAAGTTTTGAAAGATCTAGATCAACTCCATTTTCGAACAATTTACCCAATGCATTATACAGCAGCATTGAGCTTTGACTATTTTGACGTTTAGTCAAGCTGAAATGCATTCCATCAGGTAAAGTTCGCTTCATAATAGCTTGCAGCAATCCATGCGGTGCAATTTCAATAGTAAGTGCATTCTTTGGAAGACTTTCGCAACCTTCTTCGAACAGAACTGGATTTAATAAATTATTTGTGTGATATTGTGCTGATGAGTATCTGGATTCAATTGAGTCCCATTCATTCTTTGGAACACTTGTGGATATCCATTTGGGTGATCTTTGTTTTGGAATTTGAATGAGTGGCTTCAATGAGTTTATTAATTCAGGACCAAAGTCAGCAATGTATGAGCTATGATATGCAATATTTGAGCATTGGACTTCCTTTGCAAATATATTTTGCTTCTTTAATTTTTCAACGAATTGAGTAACAATTTCAGCAGGTCCCGAGATTGTACATGAGTCTGAACTATTATGGCAAGCAATCTCAATTCCTTCGTCAATAATGGATTTCAATTCCTTATATCCAACTCCAACAGCGGCCATTGATCCGAAAATAGTATTATTTTGGGCAGACGTAAGTCCACGTGAGTATGAAGCCAAAATCATTTCTTCATCCGTAAGACAATCGTCAGCATATGCACATCCAAGTTCACCAAATGAATGTCCAATAATGTAATCAGGTTCAAGTCCAACAGCTTTTAAAATATTCGTTAAGCCAATTTGAATTGCAGATATGCCAATGAATGAATGCATGATGTTGTTGAATGTTGCTGGATCAGTTGATGTAACAATATTGATCAAGTCGACTCCTTTTTTGGCAAGGATGTCATGACACTTCCTTATGGATGCTTCAAAAATTGGAATTTTCATTAAATCAGCACCCATGCCTGCCCATTGAGATCCCATACCACTATAGAGCCAAACTGTAGGTCGTCTTGCTTCTCCATAGTTTTCTATGTGACGTTCAACACAAGTTGCATTTGGAGCATCTTGTTCTTGGGTATATATTGCATAGCCTCTATAAGTATTCGATGAGATAGTTGACATTTGTGTATTTTGAAGAAGTGCTACATATTCAGCATCAAGTGGCTGCTTTGTAACACTATCAAAAATGGCATTAACAGCTTCTTCAGTTCTACCTGACCAAACGAGCAATCTTGGTAGGTTATCAGTTGGAAGTCCTTGATTAATCTTTTCTTTTGGGTTCCTTCTCACCAAAATGTGCGAATTAGCACCACCGAAGCCAAAACTATTCACAGCAATCAAGCTTCCATCAAAATCTTCTGGTTCCGTAACTGGTCTGATTCGTCCAGCAACAAGCGATGGAATGTCTTGTCGAACTTTTGAGAAATTTATGTTTGGTGGAATTTTTCCATTCTCAAAAATCAAAACTGATTTAATCAATCCGCAACTTGAAGCAGCTGCTTCAGTATGACCCATATTAGATTTAATTGATCCAACACGCAATGGTTCTTCACGACCAGCGCAGAAAATTTGATCAATTGAATTACATTCTTCAGGATCACCAACTTTAGTTGCTGTGCTGTGTGCTTCAACATAATCCACAGTTTTCGGATCAATTCCAATGTCCGAATAGACTTCTTGGAATAATTTAACTTGAAGATCTGATGATGGAAATGTTAAGCCTTCATTTTTAAATCCATCCACATTTGTCTTGGAATAAACAACTGTTGCATAGACTCGTTTGGCATCTCTTCTTTTTTGAAGGAATAGCGTGTTGATAGCCTCAGCTCTTACATAGCCATGCGCATCTTCATCAAACGAACGACAAACTCCGTCACTGGCTAATACACCCAATCTAAAATAAAAAGTGATTTTTAAGTATTGCATGCTTGTTCATTAGTAGTAAGCAGGGGTTGAGATAGAGAAGGTGTAGCAAGGGGCCATCAACATGTGTTTTTTGAACTTTTCAAGTCATAACCACACTGGCAAGATACCCCTAAGATTATCTCGTGGAGCAAAGTTTGAGAAACACTGTGTCCACAGCCATTATTCTTACCGAGCAAATTGAAGCGATGATGATTCATGAATTATAATGTTAGTTCCTCCAACAATTGCAGCATCGCATTCACCAATACGAATAGCATTAAATGCCACATCAAAGGCATATCCTGAACTACTGCATGCTGAATCAAGTTCGAAAGAAGGTCCTTTTAAGTCCATTGAAAATGAAATACGATTAGCTAACATGCAACGAGAGCTACCAAGCATTCCAGAGCCATCTTTTGGACCACCAGAAAACAATAAATATTCATCACATTCAGCTACACAACATCCGACAAAGACTCCCGTTTTACTACCACGAAGTTGTTTGGGACACATCCCAGAATCCATAACAGCCTCGAATGCATGCTCTTGAAGAATTCTTTGTTGTGGATCCATATTTTGTGCTGCACGTTGATTGATTGAGAAGAAAGGTGCATCAAATTTGTCAAGATCAACAGTTAAGCCATAACGTGTAGGAAGTTCATCATTTATGTGCTTATATCGCATTTCATTGGCATCAACCATGTCGATCTTATTATAAAGATTATGACTAAGCTCCTCAACAGTACGTGATTTTGGAAATCTTCCAGAAATTCCTGAGATAACAATCTCATCTCCTGGATCTGATACATTTACTCGAGTAATTTGACGACGTTGATAGTTGGACATGACTTATTTTTTTGTCACTAAACTTTATATATTTTTTATTTTAATTCACTTTAGTAAAAAACTATGATTTTTTTTTATAAATTATTAGCTTCTAACGTCAACCAACGATTGAATAGCGAAACGCGAATTTTTCGTACTTTTATAGCTTTATTGCAATCATCTAGTTCAGTGGTTCTCGAACTTTTTTGGTTGGCAAAACATTAAAATTTCAATTTAAAGTCACAGGTGAATCTAAAGAACTATGCAACTAGGTCACTGTTGTGTCGTGTCTTAAAGTTTGAGAACCACTGATCCTGAACGACACAAAATAGCATGAAGACAAAATTCTAAATAATTAATTAGGGAATTGACAAAATAAAAAATTAAATAGTCTTGAATGACCCAATGATAATGTATGTATAGAAAATGGAGTCGACGACAAAGTTAAGTAATCGAGAAAGTTTTAAAATAAGTGTGTCAATTTTAAGGCACAGATGGAACTTTATGAAGATTTAGTTTGAATGTGTGACATTCGTGTGTATATGAATAGGGGTATGATATTTACAATATAAAACTTTTAAGTCGTGAAACGCCAATCAGCTCAGGAGTATAATGAAATGTATCGAAAAACTAAAAAAAGGGACTAAAGGACGGTACGTTGAGGGATTTGAGAAGCCAAAGTCTGGTTAAATGTCCAGTACAACAAGTTCTATGCAATAAAACTCGCCTTAAAAACTGCAGCCTCATAATCAGACTTAGAATTCATGGTTAACATCCGATAGCTTTTGAAATCCAACCAATCAGCACCTCCCCCCCCCCTCACCACCACAACCCCTTTCTTTGACTGCGCCACTTGCTAGACTGAATGTCAACGAAATTATTGTATTTTCTGTTATCTTAAAGCAGTGTTTCTCAATCTTTTTTGGTCTACGGCACATTTTTTTAAATAAAATTTTTTGAATCACACCTTAATAGTCTCGCGGCACATAAAATGATATTCTTTTCATGACCTTTTACAATGCCTTTCCTGTAAAAAATACAGGACACAGAGGAAAATTTGAAAATTAACGGAAATTTTCGTAAAAAAAATACAGGACCTGGAACAAAATTTTCAAATTTATACAGGACAGGGTTTTGAAATACAGGACTGTCCGTTGTAAAAATACGCAGATGGTCACCCTACCTTTTTGAAGCATTAAAACAATAAAGTGTAGGGTAAATTTTAACAATCAATATTTTTGCGGCACACAGTTTGAGAACCACTGACTTAAAGGTTGCACATCGCTAGCATAAGTGAACGATTCCAAACAATTCATAATGTGCCATCTAATATGCTCGACAGTAAACGACTTCATTTTAATAGATTCTTAGATTTGTAGTCAATTAATCTATGACCTTGGCTAAAACAAAATTAATTTTATTGTCTACATCAGCAATTCGGCACGTTTTACACTTTAACGTCTTATTAATTTTAAGGAATAATTAATTTTTTTTTTCATTAGGTCAAGGCTATTAAGTTTCAGAAATAAAAAAAAAATTCCTATCAAGGCGTGGAAACTATCCCAAATATTATATTTATCCCACATGTCACAAAAATATTCAAATAATTCCTGAGCATTTATGCACGATAATAAAGATATCCCAACGTATCCTTAGTGTATTGGGCGTGTAATTTCAGGATATGATGGGATATCTCAATTCTAATGCTCGAGGATTATTTTGAATATTTTTGGGATATATGGGATAAATGGGATATTTGGGATAGTTTCCACGCCTTGTTTCCTATTTTGATAATTTGTCAAGTGCCCCCAAAAAATATCTAATTTGCATTATTTTGATTACGTCGAATGAAGTTCTTGGAATTTACTTTAAAAAATTTAGGTTTTAAAAAGTTTAACTATGTGACTAAAGATGTGTAGTGAGGTCGAATGTTGTAAGTGCTAGTAAAGTTGTTTTTTTTTATGAAAATTTTTGGCTATGGTTGGTTAGCGTTCAATTTTCAATTAAGGGTCGTTCATTTTTGACTTCAAGGGGATGTCAGCAAGAAAAGAACAATAGAAATTCATGGAAATCCAAAATTCTTTTTTAAAAAATGACTGTTAATTTCAAACGTCATAATTGAACGACCCCATAGCTCAATTTTGTGAGCAGTCAATAATTCAAAATATTGAAGCTTTAGCTTAAAAATTCAGTTCTAGAGCTTCCATTTTTAACATCCTAAAATATTCATAGAAAATTTTCATCACTCGACTGAATTTGAATTCATTGAAAATTTTCTATTGAAACTTTTAACTTTATTTCTCCATTGCATTATTGTCGACCATTGGATCTGCCCCACTTTTTCAGAGCTGAAATCTATTTTTTGATTGACGTCATTTATCAACAGTCCCATACGAAATATAAAGAATACGATTTATTATCATTATTATGAGCATTTATTCGCACACATACACACACATAAAAGACATCACATGTCAAAATAATTAAATTTTCATGCTCATAACATCTGATGATCATCTGATGATGTCTGCAATGTGATCTATATAGGAATTTTCTTCATCGTTTAAAGTCATAAGCATAAATGTGCAAATCAACAATTCGGAAGAAAAATTCGATTTTTAAGTAAATTAAATGAACTTTCTTGTGCAGTCTCTAAACTCATTTGAACTAAGGGAAAGTTGTTGGATGGGATGTATATGTGATTTAATCGAAGATGGTTGAGAAGCATTAAAGACTGATGTGAATTGGTATTTAGGATTATGAGATCTGCTGACTTATTACAAACTATCTACATGTGAGGTTAACCATCTTTAGATTAGAAATTTACAAAAACAGCAACTCCAACCTACACAATTGGTGGTTTAGCTAAGCAAAGCTATCAGGGTACAGCATCTTCAAAAGTTTAGGGTACAGCTTTTGTTTCTCATGTCTAAACTTTAGCTTGTGGTTGGAAGATTGACTAGTCACTATTGCAGAGTCTTCTAAACCTTCTTTGGTCGGCGCCACACCTTGATGGTAAGCCATGAATAAAACCGTACACGGCAAACGTTTCGTGAGCACTAGTGTATGGAATAGCGTGTAAACTAGAGCTAGAGAAACCTATTAGCCAGTGGTGCCCAGCCTTTTTGTGCCACGGCACAACTTGGTGGTAAGCAATGACTGAAACCGCACAAGATATTCGATTCGTGAAATTTGAATCGCACTAGTGTGCCGCGGCACATGGGTTTGCCATAAACCATCAATTCATATCATTAATGTAATTTATCATCCACAATTGTAGGATCCAATCAATACAATCTGACAAATTACCAATCTTAATCTTACTCAAAATCCCGTTCCAATAAAAACGATAGAAAAAACTTCAAAAAAAGATTCAACTCACGTAATCTGAACAAATGTTGAAATAGGCGTCCCTGGATGAAAATGAAAGAGCAAAGAAGAATCGACGAGGAACATTTGTAAAAATGTAAGTAATGAAAAAAGTACCAAACAGTATCCAGCTGGTTTATTCATGAGAAATATGATTAACGCAGGACGAAAAAGAAAAACTTTCTTTACACTTTTTTTGTTGTTGCTTGTTCTGTGCTGTTGGCTCTTTTCTATCCATTCATAATTCATGAGGCATGAGTTTTCTCAATTCTTGTGGAATTTACAGTTTTTTGCCTTTATGCATTAATGAGATGTTTATTTCATTCACGACTCGATAGTTTTGTAGGTTAGAATCAATTAGAAAATGTAATGAGAGATTTTATTTTAATTGAAAGGTTTAATAGAATTTGTAGTGTTAAAGAGACTACATTCGGATTTCAAGGGGGAAACAACTTGATATCGGTCGATTTCTTTTTAAAACTAAGAAGTTTTCTACAGATATTCTATCAAACTTATTAAGCCACATTAAGAAGGTTTTTTTCCTTTGAGTCGTAAATTTTTTTTCAAGGGGATAACAACATCATGAGGATAAATTAGGTTAAAAAATTAAAAAAATTAACAGTTATATTTTCCTCGTTGAGCTGTTTTAACTTTGATGTATCCATCTTTTTCGAAAGAGGATAACAACATGACGGGAATGATTTTATTTTCAATCAGAATCTGTTGATTAATAACAATTTAATTTTCTTATTAGGCTGGAGTCCTTCTACAGATTTTTTATATTATCTAAGGGGGAACCAACTCTATGAAAAAAATTTGATCCAAATTTTTATGGAAAATTGATGCAAAATTCTCATCTTATCGAAAAAAATCTGAAAAATTTTTATAAATTATTTTTCTAACCTTGCTGTTTCCCCCTTGAGTTTGTCATAATTTGACTTTCAAAATAAAATCTCACTCCTCAATTTTTCAATCAATTACTTCTTTACCTGAAGTTTCTTAAACCTGACAAGTTCGATCAATTCGACCCTCGAAAATTATCCCCCAAATCTTTATAATATTAAAATCCAATGATTATTATTGACATAAATTAATTTGCTTTATAAAATTTCCTCTTCATCTTATTGACAAAAACAACTTTTTTATTCTTCATAAAAAATTCAACTTTTATATTTTCAAAAAAAATGACAAAAAAAATTAAGTTAATGTCAATAAATGTCAATCTCGTTAAATGATTTCCGATGTTAATGAGCAATTTAAATGGAGAATTTCTGTCGCTGTTCCATTAAAATTTATTACATCTGCCTTAAAGACTCCCGATTTGTGAGAGGGAAATCATGTTTCTGTCGTATTTTCCACTTTTGTGTATACATTAAATCAAAGAAACGTAAATATTTGCGGATAACAAACAGAGAAGGAAATCATGGCCTTTTTAACAAGTTTGTTTAAGTGGGGGGAGGCATTGTGGATGGTTTGAAAAATTGTCAGTTTGTCGACTTTACTGTGTAAACTATTTTGGATAAGAAAGATGTGAAGATGGAGGATTTGGGATAGAAAGATTTATGCTGAAATGAAAAATTGTATTTTTTGAATTCAATTAATTTTTAAAATCTTTTGATTTCTTAATTTCAAATTTTTTAAATTTCAGATTTTTAAAATTTATAATTTTTCACAGTTCAGATTTTTTTAAATTTCAGATGTTTAAAATTTATAATTTTTCAAAGTTCAGATTTTTAAATTTCAGATTTTTAAAATTTATAATTTTTCACAGTTTAGATTTTTTATATTTCAGATGTTTAAAATTTAAAATTTTTCAAAGTTCAGATTTTTTTAATTTCAGATTTTTAAAATTTATAAGTTTTCATAAATCAGATTTTTTT